GTTTGACTCCTAACCCTAATTCCCTTATTGTCTTGTCCGGAAAGCTTATCGTGGTTCTGCTACTGACACCACCGCCTCACGTGACGATGAGTCCACGCGGAACTCTCGCCCAGCAGCGCGACTTCGGCTTCAGTAAAGACAAGAACAAAAGCAACGAGCTGACAGCACGTGGAAGCGGACAATATCGAGCTACCTCTTAAATACTCTTTGGTTCTTTCGGTAAAGTCACGTAGGTATAAAACAAAATAAATTAAATCACGACGTTTCGCGCGCAACACAAGCGTCCGTCATCAGGTGGGACAACCACAGCAAGAAACAGTTTCTAAAGTGGGCCAAAGGGGGCTGCTGTACCTCTTAAATCCCGTCAAGTGACCTCTCGTTTACACACAGTAGCGGGCAGCACTTGAACACCCGCCCATCTGCTGCGATTAATGTTTGTCACATGACGGCCAACCAAACATCTCGAACCATTAGGATCGGGAAATCGGCCAAATTAAATGTGGAATCATTTAATTTTATGGGATGGGGGATTTGCTGCGTGACCATTGGCGACCGGGCCGAGTCCATCAGCTCGCCGCATTTGAGAGCCCACTTCAATCGCAGCTCGCTTGTATGCAAGTCTACGAGTCCGTGTGTCATTCTGCGGGGTCTCGATTTGTGTCCGCTGCGGTCCTCTGTCTGTGGGTCTCCAAGCGGGTCAATGGAGGCCGGGCCGAGACAATCAGCCACCTGCCCTTGAGTGTCCCGGTTTCACCACAGTGGGTGCTTATACCCCGGACTCGAACCCAGGTCTTCGGCAGGGCCGGCTCAGCGTCTCTGACGTCTGCGCCGGTCGGCCACCTCTTTAATTTGGTTTTTCAAAATTCCTACTTCTGATGCTCAGTGACCTGACGGGCAATTCCTTCTGAAGTTCCGTTTCACAAGGATGGGGGGGGGAGGGGTTGGGAGTCCTGCCATCATTTAACCGCATTGAGCATTGCATTTGTTATTTTTCCCAATTAAAATAAAAATGCGGCCGTGATGACGGGATAATTGTCGCACGCAGAATGCGCTTTCATTAGGGCGCCGCGTTTCCATTCCGCCGGCAAACGCGAACCGCGGCGCTAATTGATCCCACGCTAATGGGTCCACGTAGGACGGCGCCGGCTATCACTCGTCACGCGGTGCGATTGTTCCAGCCGGGAGGACGCCGGACAATTCTGTCGAAATATCGTCAGAAGTTCTCGCAGAAAAAACGTCGACGGGTCAGCAGCTGGCCTCCGGGCTGGCGTGGAAGAGTAGGCCAAATGCCCTCTCTGCCAGCAGTGGCGCGAGCAGCAGGAAGCAGCGGGGCTGCACCTTAAACTGGTCACGTTACGTCGAAGCCTGACCCGCCAACGTCACGGCGCTCAACCGCCGCTCAAAACTTCCACAACAACCGCCAAGCCCCACCGTCCCGCCCTCCCGCCATCCTCACGGCCGCGGTGAGATGAGCCCCCCGCCCCCTCCCCGTGCCGCCTGCCCCGGGGCGGCGCACGTGAAATTTGATTTGGGTGCGACTCCGTGACTCATTCCTGAGCCGAGCGGCGCCGCAGGCCCTCCCGGACCGCACGGACCACCGCACCACTGCACCACCACCGCACCACTGCACCACCACCGTCCCACTGCACCACCACCGCACCACTGCACCACCACCGCACCACCGCACTGCTGCACCACCGCACCAAAGTACCGGTGTACTGCTGCACTGCACTACCGCTGTACTGCTACACTGCACCCCAAGCCTGCACTGCAACATCGCACCACCGCCACACCACTGCAGCGCCACTCCACCACACCGCCGCACTGCTTGACTCCGCCTTGTGCACCGCTGTGCTCCACCATCCTCCACCTCGCTCTCTCTCTACCTACGTCAACAACTCTCCGCCACCACCGCCTCGCTCGCCCCTCTCGCGCTCCACCTCGCGGGGCCTCTGAGCTGAAGCGTGCGGCGCGCGGCGCAGCTAGCGGAGGCCCCCGCGCCGTAAATCTGCGCGAGCGCGCCGCCCTTCCCACCGCCCCTTCTCTCCGCGGAGCGGCGGCGGCGGCGAGAGGGAGAGGAATCCCGGCCGCCACCGAGCGCCTTATGTTTCCAATTTTCCTCGGGCGCAGGGCCGTAAATTTGCCCTCCTTCCTTTGTGGCGGCGGAGTGGGCTAATCACCCGTGAATGAAAAACGAGGAGCGGCGAGGTGGCCGATTAGAGGATGGAGGGGAGGGGAGGGGACGGCGCACACGTGGCCGGCAGCTGCCGCCACCACCGCCGCCACGATCGCACCTCTTCTCTCGCGAGCGCTCCTCATTTCCCCGCGATCGCACACACGTGGCTCCTCTTCTCTCGCGAGCAAGTGCGACACTCGCTCTTTCACGGAGTAGGGCGAGTGGAAGTTCAGAGGCAGCCTCCAGCAGGGGAGCCGCGCGGACGTAGCATCGCCTTCAGACCGAGACCCTCGGTCTGAAGATATCTTCCGTCATCTCACGACATCTCTCTTCCATCTGCGATATATTGTCCGTTCCGTCACAACTCACTCGCCCCTTTCCCTCCAGTTCGGCCTGCGACGGGGCAAGCTGGGACTCGGCACCGGGGTGCCAACTATGCCACTCGGTGCCGGCACTCGCCACCAGCCTCTGAAAAATCTTCCGACGCCTTTGAAGTTGCCGAGTTGACTCGCGCGAGACGAACGACCGGCGCCCCTGGCCCGGCACTTCGGTAATGCGCCCGCGCCGGCTCGGCGGGCGTCCGTCCGTCTCCCGTCTCGTCACGGCAACGCCCCGGAGCTCCGGCTCCAAACTGGGCTGAGCGTCAGCAGTCGTGGACGGCCTGGCCACGGACCAGCGTCAAAAACCCGCAACTGTAACCTGAGCACGCCGAGCATGCGGCTAACCCAACCGCGATGGCGCATGGTTAATTTTCGACGCGGCGGTGATAATCGGCGGTTCCTCTTCCGAATACAGAGATCGCGGTTTTGCTCGCCGCCGTGTTTCTGAGCACAGCAGCAGTGAGCGCTCTACACTGAGCGCGCTACGGTGAGCGCGCTACGGTGAGGGGTCTACGATGAGCGCTATGGTGAGAGCGTTATGGTTAGCGCGCTACGGTGAGGGCTCTACGGTGAGCGATATGGTGAGGGTGCTACGAACACAGCAGTCTGGTGAGCGCGCCAAGCTATGGGGAGCGCGCCACATTAGGAACGCGGCAGTCCAAGTTCGGTTCCCGGCCACGGATGAACACCGGCGGTCACTGCATCCCAGGCCAATCTGACTCACACTTTGCCAGCACGGGCACCCGACACGGCGCGGGGAGGCATTTCATCCAGCAGTGGAACAGTGACAACGAGCTCCCGCAAAACTCGATCGTGCGCAGGTGCACGCGATCGTTTACGAGGGATGTGGCCACGGCGGCCATCGTCATTATCGTCACCGTCGTTGTTGAGAACGATCCTAAACGGGCGCGCCAATCTCTCCGAGCGGCGCGATCTAATTACGCGCGTGTGGCTCTCCCATACGCTTAGAGACTCCGGTAATTCATCCCAGCCGCACGACCCCGCGCAGCTCGCGGGTGCTTCAAGAGCCGCGCTGTGTGGCTGGCACATGTTCCCTCGGAGCGCGAGGGAGCGAAAGGAGCGAGGGAGCGAGGGATTGGGGGAGCGAGAGAGCGAAGGAGGGATGGAGTGAGGGAGTGAAGCAGACAGGGAGCAAAGGAGGGAGCGGGGGAGGGAGGCAGCAAAGGAGCGGGGCAGTGGGGGAGCGACGGAGCGAGGGAGAGAGGGAGAGAGGGAGAGAGGGAGAGAGGGAGGGAGCGGGGGAGAGAGACAGCAAAGAAGGAGCGAGGGAGCGAGTCTGACAGCAGCGTCAATCGGAAAAGCAGAGAGCGGCAACGCCGGGCACGTGACCATCACGGCGAGCGCGCCGCATTCCTCCCCGGGACCCACCCCCAACCCACTCCCCTGAACCAGTGCCGGAGGCGGCGGTGGCTACAGGTGTCCCTGGCATCGCGCCACGCACCCACCCCCCCCCCCACAAACTCCACCGTCCGTCACCGCTCCGCGCCTCCGAGCGGGAACCCGAGCAGCGGCAGCCGCGGGGCGCCGATCAAAGTCAACGTCGGCGACGACGACCCCCCCGCAGAACGGCGGCAAATTTTCCACATTCCTATGGCAAGGGCCGTTTTTGTGTCAAACGTCGTCGGCCCAACGCGGAGAGGTGTTGCGAGTGTGGCCGGGCCGTTCGGGGGCGGGGGTCTGCCGCTCAGACTTCTCCGCCCCGAGCGTTGCGTCTCTCCTCCTCCTCCGAACAAAAAAATAAAAATGTGCAGCCTTTTTTGTTCACGCCGACATTTGTGGGGGCCGCGCTGAGCGTCTCGACGGAGCGTCAGAAAACGTCATGGGACCACCCTTGCCAGGATCAAAATATAAGAATGGGTTGTACCCTTTGTGGCAAAAAAACAGGTGTTAAGATGTAAAAACAGCAAACAGAAACCCTTTGCAAGGAATCATGCCTGCATTATACTTTGTGGTGAACATGCAAAAAAAAAAGTAAACATGCTCTGATAGTATATGATGCATTGTCTTGGAAACTGATTGGTTCACACCAGACCAATCAGTTCCATGTTCATCACAAGTACGTGTCGTTAATACAGACATGATTCCTTGCAAAAAGGTTACACTTTGGTGTTTTAACATCTTAACACAACCGTTTTATTGCCAGAAAGGGTAAAACGCTGCCTTGCGAGTTGTTGTTGTTGTCGTTGTTATTGCCCGAGATGGAGGCATCGGCATGATTCCACCAACATCCGTTCAGACGCAAGTCTGGGTCACGGGCCCTAACCCTGGCATTCACCCTGGCGCTGACCCTGGTATTGACCTCCGTGTTCATTCTCGTATTGACCCTTGCTAGCGCTGACGTGCGTTGACACTTGTGCGTACCCTGGTGCTGACCTCGATATTGACCCTGGCGCAAGCACCCCGCCCCCCCCCCCACGTCTCACCTGCAGGACGTGGCTCCCCAGGTGCTGCTCAAACACCTCCTGCGCCAGCGCGCTGGGGCTCCTGCGCCGCTGAACGCCGATCGCTGCACGCGCACGCAAACACACGGACACACATGGACACACGCAAACACACGGACACACGCAAACACACGAACACACACGGACACACGCAAACACACGAACACACACGGACACACGCAAACACACGGACACACGGACACACACGGACACATGCAAACACACGGACACACACGGACACACATTGACACATATTGACACAGGTCCCACGTGGTGGCCTTAACAGACTGGCCGGGGCGAGGTGCTGTTAGCGAGCGGCGCTTATGAAAGGCCGGCAACGGCCCACAAGGAGGTGGGTGGTCGACACCGTGACCGGCCGCCTTTGTCTCCCCAGCGCCGATATTTATACACCGCACCAGGCGCTTATTTAAAGCCGCGTGGAGGTCTAAGCGCGTGCGTGTGTGTAGCACAGGCACGCGCACGTGCAGGCGCGCGCACGCACGCAACACGCAGGCGCATGTACGCGCACGCTCACCACCACCGTCATCATGAGCACAGTCCTGCCGACGGGACATTGCATGAAACGACGGCCGATTAATGAGGCAGTGTGAACGACGACGACGACGTTATTTGACACCGCTGCCCAACGCAGTCCCGTCGGTGGAACTCCACCCGGGAGTGATTCTCATGTGCCGACGTCCAACATCGAAAGCCGACCCAAGTGCCTGGGTCGAGCGATTTGTCACCGCCATGCTGTGCTACAAACACGGGGAGCCAGAGTGGCACCGCGGTGGCTAGGAGATGTTGACTCCCTCGCCTGGTATACAGCAGGTCGTGGGTTCGATCCCGACCCCGACGCCTGCTGTATATTTGTAGTTTTCGTGTTTCTCTCCCCATGGTCCCGTGGATTTTTTTTCTCCGGATCCTCCAGTTTTTCCCTCCACATTTAGAATCAGCGCCACGCGTTCAGAGTATTTGGCTGCTGCTATAAATGTCCACGTGATGATGAGCCACTTCGTTGAGCTATCATTTGTGGCCCAGTTTCTTCTGAAAAAGAGCGATATAGCTCAGTGGGCCTTACCTGGTAAAATAAAAAAAATGGTTTCGTTTAGAGTGCCGGGACATGGCCGCCACCCCCACTCCCCGTGCGGGCGGTCCCAGGCGACCCATCCTCTTTCGCTTGTTGCCGAGCGCAGGGCCCAGAGAACCAGGATGCCAAGCGGCCCGCGACCAACAGCACGATTGAGGTTGTAATAGGTGAGAGTAGACACGTGCGTTAAATTGAGCGTGGTTGCGACGATGGTGGTGGTGGTGGTGGGAGGAGGAGGGAATTCCACAGTGGAGCAGCAGTGCACGCGGGAAGCAGCAGACGTCTTGTGACCAGCAGTGTAGTGAGTGGGTGGGTGAGTGAGCGAGTCAGTGGGTCAGTGAGTGAATGGGTGGGTGAGTGGGTGATTGAGCGAGTAAGTGGGTGGGTGGGTGAGTGAGTGGGCGAGTAAGTGGGTGGGTGGGTGAGTGAGTGGGCGAGTGAGTAGGCGTGTTAGTGGACGGGTGAGCGAGCGAGTCAGTCCTCTGCACGGGTGATATCTGATTATATAACCGGGGCGCGCAGGGCAGCACCTTGTCTCGGCACATCAGCCGCGCCGCCGCCGCCGCCGCCACCACCAGCACCACCACTCCCACCTCTCGCCGGCCTCGGTGTGTAGCCCGAAGGTCCCCGCGTGTCACCGTGAGAAATCTCTCTCTCCCCCCACGGCGCACTTCATTATTAATCCCAGGCACTACATCAATCCTCGTCACGCCGGGAATATTAACGCAGGCAACTGCCAGGGGGAGTCCGCTGCTGGAACAAGTCTGAGACACCTCCCTGCGCCCCCCCCCCCCACTCCCCTCCACTCCCCGCAGCGACCGCCGGTGTCTTAAACTTAATAACACTCCGTCAGATGCCGTGCGGGCGCTTTAGCTGCCGAAGAATAATTACCGCTGATAACACGCGAGCGGGCAAGCTGGTGGGCGAGAGCGGGCGAGCGACGTGCTGTGGCTGCGTGCACGACAGAGAGAGAGTGGGGCCGGCCGTGAGGGGGACGAGAGGTTCGCGGTCTCGGAGACTTGCGGGGGGAGGGGGGGGGAGGAGGGGGGGGGGGAGGGGGGGGAGGAGGGGGGGGGGAGGAAGGGGGGAGGAGGGGGGGGGAGGAAGGGGGGAGGAGGGGGGGTAGGGGGGGTTTCTTTCTCTCTCTCGTTCCCGCGTCTGAGACGTGCGTCGAGGCATTGCTGACCGTCTCCTGCCTGGGGCCCCGCAGAAAATTCCGCATTCCTATGGCGGGGGCGAGTCCATCCATACCGCAACCACAGCTGATTCACCTCCCGTTTTATCAACTCCCGGAGAAAGGATGATGGGATTGGGGGGACAACCCTTGACCCAGACTGGGATTTGAACTCGCGACCTCTCCGATTGAGAGTCGCTCCTTCTGCCACTCACTCTGCCGCGTGTTGATGCTGGATATTCCTGAACCCCTCTGGGGACGTTAACAAGATAACGAGAGTGAGAATCGGGGTGAGAGCTCGTTGAAGCGATCAGCTCACACCGTGGTGTGGAGCTGCCACGCGCTCTCTCCGATCGGCACGTTGGCATGACGCGCCGCGTTTGTTGGAGCGCGCACGAGGGATTACGGCGATGGTGCGAGCGAAAGCCAGCACCATCGACGTCAACGCAATGACGACGGCTAACCATTGTTGTTGTTGCCCTCGGGCCTAAGTTTTTGCGCGTGTGCGTAACACGCGCGGGGGGCGGAGGGGGGGCCGGCAGCGAACCGTGGCGCGCCATCGCTGAGACCCTCGCACCAACGAGCCGGTGCCGAGCCGTTGACGGCGCGGTCAGAGCGGGCGGCGAGGGATTACGCAACGCGATTCGCTTTCGCTCGGCCTCCTCGACAACAACGACGGGACGGCCCGTGGAGCTCGCGGCGCGGGAGGAGGATTTTAAACGTTTGGGAGCGATCGAGCAAGGGAACGAAGCACAGCACAAGGCATGAGGTGCTGTGCTTCGTAACCGCTATGCCGTGGTGTTTCCGGAATTTTAGGAAAGGATCGTAAGCTGGGACAAATGGGCCATGCAGTTCAGCGGTCGATCCAGCCTCCCGCCCTCCCCCCATCTCCATTGGTGCACCCGGTGCGGTGTCCGGTCACGGGAGAGATGGAAGATGGGCGGACGAACGGACGTACAAACGGACACGTGGACGAACGAACGCACGGATCGACGGTCAAACGAACGCGAGCAAGGACGACGGTGCTGCTTGGCGATGACCAGAGAGGGGCCTCCCCCCGCTTCCCACCTTTGACGGAGGTGTTGGGCGGCGGCCCCTCGCTGCGGAGGTTCCAGGGCGGGTCGCCGTGGGCCGCGAAGTTGCGGATCTTCAGGTAGCTGATGGTGAGGCGCACGATGGAAGCCTTGTCAAGCTGGCTCGTGATGGCGCCGGGCAGCGGCAGCAGCTTGGCCAGCTCGTAGAACTCGAAGTTCTCCTTGCCGCGCCGCGAGCGCGCCGCGTCGCGCGACTTCTCCTTGCGGACCATCTGCAGCCTGGCGGGTGGGGGGTGGGGGTGAGGGGGGATCAGCGGTTGTCGTTGGCATCGGTAGCATCATCAATATATAATAATCACAAGAATCGTCGTGATAACAACGTCAACTTGTAATGCGTCGTCACCGTTGTCGCGCCCGCCGCACGGTATTAGGTTGAAAACTAATTTCTTGAGAAATTATTGTTGTTGTTGTCGCTGCGTTTCGCTTGCTGTCCTTCCCCCACACCTCCGATTAGCACGAAAGAAGTTCGACATACGTACTACGTAAGTATCCACTCATCGCTCCCGTACAGAGGGAGGGAGAGAGGGAGGACGACTCAGAAGCGCCAGGAGGAGGGACCACATACAAGAAGTGGGAAGGCAGCAGCAGCAGTGGCAGCAGCAGCCACGCGGCTCCACCAACAATTCTCCAAGCTCTGCAGTCCTCTACACACGAAGGTGTTATCGCCCAATTGATGTGGGAGGAAACTAGAGCACCCGGAGGAAACCCACACGTGCGAGGGGGAAACACTCTATCCCATACAGACGGAACACAGTTGGGAGTCAGTAGGATCGGCACAATCGGTAGCATCAGCGCCTTCAGCGTCACGAGAAGTGTCAGCACCGTCAGCATCGTCAGCAGCATAATCCCCATCATTACTACACCATCATCATCACTACTTCATTACTATCATTACCATCATTGCCACATTCACTATACAATCGTTATCATCACTATCATTACCTTAATCACTACATCATCACTATCATCACTACTATCATCACTACTATCATCACCACCATCACTATACAATCGCCAACATCACGATCATCGCAATCGTTACTACACCATCGCCAACATCACTATCATCACCATCATCACTACACCATCGCCATCATTACTACACCATCGCCCTCATAACTATACCATCGCCATCATCACTATCATCGCCATCATCACTATAATTACCATCATCACGACACCATCACCATCATCACCATCATCACTATAATCGCCACCATCACTACACCATCGCCACCATCACTATCATCACCAACATCACGGCCCCATGCGGTGGCGGTAACGGCCACTCACACGGCTCGGAGGGCCGTCCGTGGCCAAAGTGGCGGTGCAGCCGAGGGCGGGGTCGGAGTGAGCCCCCCCCCACCCCCCCCCGGGTCCCCCTTCATCTCAACAACAACAACCAGCGGCCGCGCCAGGCAGCTCGGCACGTCGACTACGAGCGTGGCCCCCCCCCCCACGCGAAGCCCCCTACCCCCCACCCCCCCGCGAAGAGCTCTCGCTCCGACCGCCCAACTCCAGCAGCGCACGAATGTCGTGGGTCCAGGGGTGGGGGGGGGGGGAGACTATGGGGGCGACTGACCCCCTCCCTTCAAGACGGCAACAATTGATAGTGTTTCACCGATATTTACTAATTAGAATATAGCGAGGGATTATTTTTTATTATTATTCATGTAGGGCTCTATTTAAAAATATGTATATTTTGGGACTGCCCCACCCGAAACGCGGGCGGTGGGGGTCGATTGACCACTCACAAAGGTGTTTGGGTGAGATCGCGTTATTTATAAATGTGTCGCAACCCTCCACCACCCGACACGGCCAATCAGTAAAAAAGCAATGTGTCACGTTGACAAAAGACAAATAGTTCACTACTTTAGCCCACCGGTGTGTTGAGTGAATCCACAACATTTACAATTTTTGAGTAGTACGACGTTTCGCTGGTAATTACATCAACCAGCATCATCAGGCGATTTGCCAGAATAGTGAAGCCCTCCACCTGCTCCCGGTCTTAAATAGAGCAGCAGCAGGGTGACGCCATCATTTAACCCAATCTGATTGGCCGTGTCGGTGGTGGAGGGTTGCTACACATTTTAAATAACCCGATCTAACCCAAAAAGCTTTATTATGAGTAATATTGGTCGTGAAAGCCTACGTGTTAAATCGATTGACCGGCTCAGACGTCACCCGCCCCCTGACGTCAGCCACGGGAATCGAACTCGGGCGCGCGTGGTTGACCGGCGCGGCACTTTGCGGAGCGGCCGAGTCACCACGGCCGTTCGGCGGCCTCGCCGCCCGCGTGCCATTGCGTTACTCACGACGACGGCGACACGGAGGCATCGACCGGCCGCGTGCCCACGGGCGTGGGATTTACGAGTTTTCATCGCCTCTGTCTGGCGGCTTCGGCCGTCGTGGTCAGCGGTCGGTTTGCAGCCGAGCGGCGCGCGCGCTCATCACGGTGGGGGAGCACACTGCCAAGTCTCGCGTGGCAGTGTTGCAGTAAACCCTCGCTATTCACGAGTTCTGGATTCGCAAGGTTCGCACATTGGCGAGGTACAAAATGGGAAAAAATACATCAACACCTGGTAAGGCCCCACTGAGCTGTGTAGCTCTTTTTCAGAAGCGACCTGTGGCTGCCACAAATGAAATCCAAATCAAGTGGCTCATAATCACGTGGAAATGTAATAGCAGCAGCTTAAACGCTCTAAAGGCGTGACGTTGATTCTAAATGTGGAGGGAAAAAACCAGAGGAGCCGGAAGGAAATCCACGCGACCACGGGGAGAGAGAGATGCGCAAAACCCGAAATATACAACAGGCGTCGTCATGGTCGGTATCGAACCCACGACCTCGTGCGTACCAGGCGAGGGAGTTAACATCTCGCCACTGTTCCCTATCCGCGACCCGCCGGACTCCAGCGTTCGCGAGTGTACGCCCTGGCGCCAGGCCACCGACACCGAGGAGTTGCGCGCAGAATGTTAAATCCGACACCGTGTGGGATGATTAGGCGCGCCACCTCGGCTGCCTGCGAATTAGGTACCAACCTTGCAGCTCCTCTGAACTGGCTATTGTGCATTTCGACTTTATTGCCCTTAATCCTGCCTCCCAAGCGTCCGACGAGAGAGGGAGAGTGCCTCTTGCACTTTCCTCTCTCACTCCATCTCCCGAATTCCTCGCCACCACCACCACCACCACCTCGTCCATCGTCGTCAAGAGGAGCACGGTTGGCTACGTAGGGTGCAAAAGAAGTTCAACATACATAAAAAAAACACTTCGTTCTTTACAATCTATGATTTATTTATTGTCGTCATTTTTTATTAAAAATGTACCATTTCCACCGCTATGTTACCTCGTACCAGGAACGTAACCACATTGTATTGTATAGTACGGCTCTCTATGCGAGTCCATGGCTCCCCGTGTGAGTATGTGAATACACGAGTCTCTATGTGAGCTTGCGGTTCTCTATGTGAGCTTCCGCGTCTCCACGTGAGTCTACTACAATCTAATTGTAGTAGTTTACTTCGTTTTGATTTTGTCACCTGGGTGACCCAGGTCAGTCATGCTTGCAACCGAGATGACATCCTGCATGGGTGTGAGTGCCGAGTTCTCACCTCAACACACAAAATAAACGTGGCCCTGTGGCCAACACGCAAACTCCAAATATTCAACAGGCGATTCCGACCCTGACGATGCCTGCTGTATGTTGGGAGTTTACGTGTCTCTCTCTCTCTCCCCGTGGTCGCGTGGATTTTTCTCCGGGACCTCCGGTTTTTACCCCCTCCACATTTGCCATCAACATCCACGCGTTCACGATGTAGATTCTAAACGTGGACATTCCCAGCGGCATTTTGGCCGCTCTAGAAGTCCACGCCACGATAAGCCAGTTCGGCGAGCCATCACTTGCGACCGCCAGGTCGGGTCTGACAAAGAGCTACGGAGCTCGGCATGGGACGCCTCACCTGGGAAATGAAAAAACAAAAATAATTTGCCGAAATAGTTCAAGTGCAACCACCACGGTTTGTGCGACGCGCACTCTCCCTCCCCAGGCTCTCGCTCGGCCACGGTCGCCCGCCCCACCCCCCCGGGGCGCCGGGCACGGGGGGACCGCGTCTCCAGCGGCACGACGCGTCTCCACGTTCGCACGATGCCGATCGCCGCGCCGTCGGACGAGTTTGTGACAAGATCCGACCGCGTGCGTCCGGTGCTCGCCGAGCTGCATGGGCTTCCGGTTGCCGAACGAACACGTCGTTATGAGGTCGCGCCCGTTGCACGCAAAGTTGCTTGCCACAAATGAACCACACAATGCGTTGCTGACCATCATCGCACGAACTGCGGTCATCCTCGCTTGTGGCTCGCCATCGAACAAAGGCGGTGGTCACCGCATCGCGCGGCGCTTTCAGATGCGCTTTTGCGCCCGTCTCGAACGCTCCTCCTTCCGATATTAGGAAGCCACTGGAGCTATGCACTTTTAAAGCATCGAGATTGAAAAAGAACATTTTTAAAACTTATTTTTTCATTTAGTTTGTTGATGGTTGGTTACGTAGAGTGCGAAAGAAGTTCAACACACATACACCGGAGACCTGGACTACCGAAAGCACCCGAGATGCAGTTAAAAATGTTTCGTCTCGGCTACGGCAAAAATGACCAACGTCAACGCCGTGCCCGCTGCCTGACGACGCGAGACTTTGATGTCGACCGTCCCACGCGGGCGACCGTCGCAAGGGAAGGGCCCCGGGGTCTCGGCGGGGACCTCGCGCGCGTCGACAAAGGGCAGCGAAGACCCGCGGATCCTTTGTGAGCGACGCCGCCGCACGAGCCGCTCTCCTTCCACGCGCTCGACGTTCCCGCACACGCACAACGCTCCCTCACGCTCCCTCATGTCCCCTCACGCTCCCTCAGGCTCCTTCACGCACAGCGCTCCCTCATGTCCCCTCACGCACAACGTTCCCTCACGCGGAACCCTCCCTCACGCTCCCTCACGCACAGCGCTCCCTCACGCTCCCTCAGGCTCCCTCAAGCGCACAATGCCCGCTGCTCCCTCGCGCCCCATGCTCCAGCGTGGGTCACCTGTTGCGACGCGACTGCTCTGCTGATCTCAGTTGGCATTGAAATAAAAACAAAACAGAACAGAGTTGAGTTGAGCCACTCGTCGCGCTTGTTCTGACAATGACGGAACGAGAGCAGCGAGGGGACGAAGGGGGTGAGGGCAGTGAGGGAATGAGGG